GTAAGAATAAACTACGAATTCAAGTAAAATTTTCAGTCATCTTATAAAAAGTGAGCCATCCTACTTTTAAAATCACTTGCTATGACAACTAATAAAAAGTTTAGTATCACGAAATTCTTGCAGAACTTTAAAAAACATTATTGAAAGAAAAATTGTACGTTTCATATCATAATACAATAAATTATTACACGATTATGTACACATTTCTTTATATTTACACAGTTTATGCTCAAATGTGCCATTAATGTACTGACACACAAATATATAGTGTATTTTATACAAATATAACTCATAAATGTCTTTTGTAAATTTGTTTCTGTAAATGTCAAAAACAAAGTTTAAGGCTGATGTCTCTATTCATTTTCACAGAAGCAAAGCAGCAGATGTTATAAATAAAGTGAATAATGTTATTGAATAGAATATATTAAAACCGTTATTGCACGACATAGGCCTATTCTTATAGGCTACACAAACAAAACAGTTGGAGATGCGTTTATGCATTTTTTTTTTTTACGCATTAGTAGAAAATCAAAACTTCGCAAGTTCTCTTGTAAAATAAGATAATTTAAAAAAAACAAAAACATGGAATAAATTGTGTACAGAAAGCGAGTAAAGAACTCTCAGCATTATGCTACTAAAATTGTCAGTTTAATCTCGCAAAAACTCCCGTTAATAAAAAAATCTGACTACACTGCACAATTAATCTCTTACACTGCGTCTTTGTTGTTTATGATTAATTCGGTGCTTGCACGTACACCGCTTCTATTATTATTGCTGCTTAGATGTTCAAATAGCGGCAGTACTCTGACTTTGCCACAAGGAAACGTGCGTGCGCCTGCTCAGACCCTGACGTGACGGTAAGTACTTTTCCACGTCAAAGACCGTTTTTATAAATATGAACGCTGCACATTTTATAAACGACGCCCCAGATCTTCTAGTGAGAGCTCCTGAAAGCTGCATGTTTCTAAGATTCTTTTTGGATTATTAGATCTCGTCCCAATGACCTCTAAGGAGGCAAGAACATTAGTCTGTTATAATAAATATCACCACAGCCTTGGTGTGTTATCACTATCTAAACATGGAATAAGTTTCTTTTTGGTATGCATTGGTGAAGTTTGGTGTTATGACTTGGATATTCTTCACAAAGGTCTTTAGCTTTGCAGGCAGCACTTTTTACATTGCAGTAGAGCAGCAGCGATGAAAGAGTTAAAAACAAGCAAGAGGAACAAGGACGGGGCAAAAAAAAAAAAACGTTCAAAGATGTTTAATAAAGCATTGTATAATATAGTAAAGTCCTGTATAGTAGAGCTTAAATAAAGTCTTACATATTTTAAAGTAGAAATGTTTACTAAAATCAACTTTTATGAGGATCAATTAGTCATTAAATGGATACTTGACATTTTTCACGAACACACACACACAATTCTGTGAACTGCTGTCAGTGACTACTAGCATCTGTCATTTGTTAACTTATTAATATTACAGAACAGAATAAAGGCTACTGGAATTACTCCCCATCTTGGAAATTCTTCATGTAAAATCACCGATGAGTGTAACACAGGTAATGCAACTCGGCAGAGATATTCAAAGTTAGTCATGTATCGTTCTATGAGAGGTTTGTCCAGATGAAAACGCACTTTCTCGCCCCTCTCTGTCCTTGAGCTGTGATAAGAGGCCTGCTAGAGTTTATCTGGAGTTTCACAGGTGACAAATCTGAGCTTCCAAGACACAGCACAGCTACACACACACATGATCTGCTCTTTAAGGTAAACTGGCATACAGTCTGTTCATTTTATTAATGTATGAAGTTTAATACCAAAAAGATTTTCATAATTTGAGGGCTCTGACATCATTTGCATCATTGTGATTGTGAAATCATCACCAGTGATTACTGCAGATGGACAAGTCACCTACACTACAATGGAGAAGTTTGGGATTGGTAATTTTATTTGTTTTCTAAAGAAGACTCCTATTCATTAACAGTAATTTTGTGAAATATTTTTTACAATTTAAAATAACTGTTTTCTATTGTAATGTATTTTAAAATGTAATTTATTCCTGTGATACGAAGCTGAATTTTCAGTATCATTACTCCAGTCTTCAGTGCCATCTGATCCTTCAGAAATCGGTCTAATATGCTAATTTGGTGGCCAGCAAACATTAGCAATGTTGAAAACTGTTACATTTTTTGGGGGGGGGGGGGAACGGG